GAAACTTTGTGTGTGTGACTAAAAGCATGTAACCTTAAGATGTTGCATTCTAAACTGACAATAAAGACTTTCCCAAATATGTTGGTGTTCCGGAGACTGTTTAATATGCTTTTCTACCCCGTTTGGACCAGAATACATAAACCTATAAAGAAAGCAGGAAGGTGCACACCCTCCCTCACCCGGGGAGAGAAGCCAGGCCAAGGCAGGGTGTGGCAAGTTTTTGCACGCAGAGCACTGAACCCAGCTTATTTTGACCTTGCAGGCGATAAAAGCGAAAATGGATGAACTTAGGCCTTTGATACCTGTGTTGGAGGAGTACAAGGCCGATGCCAAATTGGTATTGCAGTTTAAAGAGGAGGTCCAGAACCTGACGTCAGTGCTTAACGAGCTGCAAGAGGAGATTGGCGCCTATGACTACGATGAACTGCAGAGCAGAGTGTCCAATCTTGAAGAAAGGCTCCGTGCATGCATGCAAAAACTAGGTAGGACCAGAACCCTGCGGGGGCGCGGCTCTGCTCCGCCCACCTCCGCTCCCACACAGGCTTAGGGAGTGGTGCTGAAGCGGACAGCGCCCGCCTGGCTTCAGAGAGGCCCCGGGCAGGGCTCCCCGGTAGGCGGCACTCAGGCTAGGGCACTGTCCCACCCTGTGCAGAGAAGGCCAGCTCACAGACCCCATGGAGTCGCACATCTGGAGAAGGCATCAGATGCCACACACCATCTGAAGGATGTGTATGCGTGTGTGCGTGTGTGTGTGCGCGCGCGTGTGTCCCGGGTGAGTTTAGGACACAAGTTCGATAGGGCTGGAAACGTACATCTCAGATTCTCTCCGGGTTGGGGACAGGGGCTGAGGAAACTCCCAAGAGAACGCATCGGGCGTAGTTTGAATAAAAGAGAAGAGAAACTCCGGTCACACCACGGTAGAGGACTTGCCGTTCACGGGGAGTAAAGGCACGAGTCCCTCCTAACAGCCTGGATAGAGCAGCTCCTCTGAGCCCACCGGCCCCTCCACCCTGTTGCCCTATTCCGGGAAGGACCCCCGCCGCTGGGGGAACCCCTTCAGGTTCTTGGGATCAATACCCGCTCGCCTTGTCAACTCTCCCGTGGATTGCTTCCACAAGTCGTGGCTCGTTAGCGTCTGGGTCCGCTCTTCTAGCACGTTTCAGTTTGTCCAATTAGTCCTTGGGTTTTCTTACCGAGACTCGCTGGCCCTTGTCACCTGCCGTTTTTTGACACCAAGGTGGTTTGTGTCCCTGCCGTGTACTTCTTAGTGTGATGGAGGGTCATTTTGACTTATAAAGAAGCTTCCCTTAGGTTTTTCTCTGATATTCTAACTTGATTCCCTTTTTGTTCCCTCTCCCCCCACACACAAAAACACACCCCAAATGCCTCTTTATAAACTTACAACGTCCCGAAGGTCACAAATGCTTTTTAAAATCCCTAGTGCCATGAGGTGAAAGGGAATGTCCAGAGAGCGAGGAAGGAGTCGGCAGGGCCCCCTCCCCCACCCCCCGCACCCGTTTGAGCCGGTCCGAACATCCAGATTATCTCAAATGCCGTTCTAGGCACCTCAGCAAAGGCAGACGCTTGTTACATACCTCAGCCCCGGAGGGGACAGCGAGAGGCGTTGGGAGTTTAATCTGGTTTACCGTGGGCACTTACGCCATGTCACATGAGGGATCGTCTGCTGCGTTTTTCCAGTGACGTGGTTCACCGCACCCCAGTGTCGGGGGCTGGGGGACCCGGGACCTGTTCTGACACTGCAGGGGTCCGTGTGGATGTTCGAATGTTCACAATGATGGGGCTATGTTTAAGACGATGGGCTGTGTGGTTCTTACCATTGGGCACAGGTTTGGGTTTCTAGCCACAATTACCCCACGCTGACCATCGCCTCTCTCTAGCCACACCCTGCCAACACCCCCACTGAGAGGTCTGTCCCAGCCTCTGAGGACTCTGTGGGTGGGGGAGGGCTCATTGACTATGTTTTCCCTCGCTGGGATATAGACTGTGTATACCAGTGAGAAATGGCGATGAAACCTCCATGCTTTCCGAGTCAGGGGTCAGGGAGCAAAACGGAAATTCAGAGTGGAAAGTTACCAAGGCAGAGAAGGCGCAGGCCTCTCCGAGGGGGATGCCACCCCCTAAAAACACTTGGCCTATTTTTAGAAGCTGCGTGAATTTTCCTTGCAACTTTGAACCTTGCGGCTTTCACGTGGTTCCCCCGGGGCCGCCAAAATGGTTGATTTGGGAGCGAAGAGAGAGGACCAGTCCCGGGGACCGCATTCTCTACGTGTCGGGAGTGCAGCCGTGTGGTCTCGCCTCTGCGTTTCTTTGTTCAGAAACACCTTGACTTGTAGATAGACCCACTGAATCAGAGTCTGCAGGTGGGGCCCAGGGATCTGCATCTAACCAGCACCCGGGCGATTCAGGTAAACAACGCCAAAGCGGGAGAACCCTCGGTCTGGGGCCGGCAGTGCGGTAAAGTAGTTAAGTGCTGCTCTGTGGCCGTGTGACTCTGCCAAGGCACTGCCACCTGTTTTATCTGTACGGTGAGGGTGTAGGAGTCCCCGTGCCCTGGGGTCGCGGTGGAAGTCCAGGGACACCGTTCCCATCATGGCTGCGCACTGCATCTGGCAGAGTAGGGCGTGACAGGTAGGCAAGCAGGGAGGGAGGGAGGGAGGGAGGGAGGTAGTAGGTGATAGGTAGGCAGCCAGTTAGGAAGTAGGTGATAGATAACTAGGTGGACAGGCAGAGAGCAGAGGATAGGTGAGTAGGTAGGGAGGTAGGCGGGCAGACAGTCAGTCGATAGATGAACGGACAGGTGGGTGAGCAGGTGTGGGGGTAGATAGTGGATGATACAGTGAGCAGTAGCTGTCCCATCTCCCTGGGCTGTCACTTAGGCTCAGTAACTTAAGGACCACACTCCCGTCCTGCGGCTGCTGATTTGGTCTTTATTTCCGCCTTGCAAACGGGCCCCATCTTAGCGGCCCGTTCGCTTGCTTGGAGCTTCCGGTGAGCACGAAGCACAGAGCCCGCCTCCCGCTCCGTGGGGGCTGGTGGCTCCGTGGGGGCTGGTGGCTCCATGGGGGCTGGTGGCTGGGGCTCCCGCAGCTCCCCGGCCGCCCCCCCCCCCCACCCTGCCCCGGCGCCTTGGTGCCTTGGTCTCCAGGCTGTCTCTTGGTCCTTGGCTTGCCAAACGGCACCTCGTTACCTTCCCGGTGTGACGGTGCAGCGCCTCTAATCAGGGTTCTCCTTGTGGCCGCCTTCTCTTTAGGTCCACGATGCTGGTAATCCCTGACCCCAAAACATACACAGGGAAAAACAAACAAGTGGTAAAGATTTCTCTCTCAAGGGGATTGTATGTTTTTCCCAATGGCCCCGCCAGAAAAAAACGACTCTGAAACTCCTTTTCTAAAACTGGAGGGGGGCTCAGCATCTCTGGGCATTCCTCTGCGGGGGGGGCGGGGGGGCACTTCCGGCCACACCCCTGCAGCTCCCCTCGTTCCCAGATGAGCGAGCACCACGGTTGCCCAGCGGCCCTGTCCCCCGAGCTGGGGCGTGAAACTTCACTGCCTCCCTGGGAGGAGCCTGCGGAGTCAGGTGACCCAGCAGCTACACCAGCCGAGCCAGAGACTCGGGATCCAGTGCAAAATGTTGTTCGTACATCAACGCATCCTGAGCGTGTCGTGTGCCTGCTAGCTTCAGGCCTCAGTTTTCCTGTCTTTAAGAACGGGGGGAGGGATAGCTGATTTTAGGGCTTCCCGCATTATACCATCCTGGGTGGGAAAGAAGTACCCAGACACCCAGAGCACTACAGTCTGGGGTGGCGGGGTGGGGGGGATTTTCTTGTCCCACGGAGAACACATCTGAGTGAAGCCCCGGGGCATCACCGACCCCACCAGCCCAGCGTGCACGTTGCTAGCCATCAGACTGTAGACGTTTTTGCCAGTTTTGGGTGTCGGGCATGGCGCTTTGCCTCGGCACTGTTTCCTAGGCTCGCTCTCCTGGAGGAGGCAAGCCTGAAGCCTCCCTCCTGTGCTCTGGCCCTGGAGGTGTGGCGGGTTCAGGGAGGCAGAGGGATCGGCCCTGACCTGCTCCCAGGGGCCTGCAGGGGCCGGTGAGCGAGCTGCTGGCCCAAGGGTGCTGCGTCCCGTCGAGGCTTGAGAGCTGAGTGTGGGTGCCTCTGCCTGCAGGAGACCCCGAGGGGGTGGCGGGGAGGAAGCAGACCCGCATCCAAGGCCCTCCTCACGTCTTGGCCTGGGTGGGATCCTGGCAGGGCCGGCGTCGCCTTCTGGAGTCCTCCCAGGAAGCGCTCAAGATTATGCCTGGTGAGAGGTCTCCTGACGCCTGCCCTGCCCTGCCCGTGAGCCGAGGCGGGGTGAGTGGCCCTCTTCGGGTGCCCCTCCCAGGCTCCAGGGCTGTGTGCAGCCTGAGCTCTGTCCTCAGGCTGCTCTCCCTGCAAGGACACGGGTCTGCCAAGCTCCCAGCTTTGTGAACTGTTCCCAGTCCTTGAGGGATGGAAACTGGGAGCAAGGGAGACCAAAAGCCCGGGGGGCCCGGCCTGCCTGCCGCGGGGCCGTCGACCCCACGGTCTGGTCTCTCTTTGGCGGGCGTGTCACCCCGGACCCGCTCAAGGCTCCTCGTGGAGACTGTCCAGGCTGTTGTCAGAAGCGAGTTCCTTCTAGGAATATGGCAAGAGGCAAATGACTTCGTCTGCAGGAGACTGCCTCGTCCGGGCTCCCGGCTCTGCGGGCATCCTCCCTCCTGAGACCCGTCCTGGGCTCTCGAGGGCGGCCGTGCGGGCCCAGCAACTCCGCCCCCTCCAAGCTGCACCTGCGCAGGGGCGCTTCCCGAGCCTCCTCCCCGCCTTACGCACATCCTGAGCCCTCGTGACAGAAAGGGACACCTACCTTCCTGAACTGAATGTGCCAAGACTCTTCCGTGAGGCCCTGCCACGGGGCTCTCTGAGATCATGTCAGCTCCCAAGGTCACGGCAGAACCTGTCTGGACAGAGAACCAAAAATAACTCCCTGACTCAAGCAGGGCTGGCTGCCTCCAGCCCCACAGGCCCTGCTCCCCTGCTCCGCAGCCCAGGCCAGGAGGCTCACGGTGGGCAGGACGTGGTGCAGCGGTTCAGGGCAGCCGTGACCCCGACTCTACTGGGGACGAACCCCGTCTTCTCCACAGCCGTAGTCTGAGTTCACAGCCATGATCGTGGCTGCTGCCCCCACTGAGCACTGATTCACATCAGCTGCCCTCCTGGACTCTCCCCCCTGGTCAACCCCTTCAGTCTCCACTGCTCCCCTCTGAGTTCGTGGAAAAGGAAGAAGGTCTGTGCCTCACTCCGGGGAGGGTGACCCTCGCTCTCTTGCTGTCCCCTGTGCTGGGCACATAGCGGAGCAGTAGACTCGTGAGGATTTTCTGAGAGGAGTAATTTCACCTCTAAGTACCTGAGCTGAGCGATCACTCACTCACTCACTCACTCGTTCACAGACAGCTCCCCAGGCTGGGCCTTGCGGATAGAGCGTGAGTGCAACGGGCTTATTGCCTGGGGCGGTAAGACCGGGCCGCTTGGGTCCACGGCCCCAGGAAGTGTGTGGTCGTGAGCATGAGTCAGTGGGGACAAGGTGGGCAGAGTTCAGAAGGCAGAGGTCTCGGGAAGAGGCGTGGGTTTGGGCCAAGCCACAGGGGACCGGTGGGAGGGCGGGGGGAGCCAGGGTGGGGGGGTGCATTCCAGGTGGAGGGAACAGCCCAGCAAAGGTGTGGAGGCAGGAAGGGCCTGGCATCTGAGCCGAGCTGAGGCGTTGGCCCGCTCTTTGCCTTCTGAGTACGGCATGGGGGACAGATATCTGTTCTCCTTCGGGCAGTCATCGTCCAGCACAGTGGGGGGTACGGCTGCACAGACTTGGCCGGAACTTCGGTGTGCGATTGGATAGAAACCCGCAGGCCCGCTGGGTTCCCCAAGCCATGACATCCTTGGGGGCGATGGCCCCTTTGGACTCCTCCTTCCAGGCAGGACCGCTGTCCCCTGGCTCAGCGGTGGGGAGGCTGGAGGGGTCCCTGGTCAGCATCTCCAGATTCCCACCCAGTTCAGAGAAGCTGCTGTCTCCTGGCAGCCCAGAGCCCCCAGGTCACAGGAACCCTACCGGGCAGAGGGGGACACCAGCCTTAGGTCCTGCTTCTCCCACGTTCCCCCTCCTCCAGACCAAACACTTAGGGAACCCCACCCCGAATCCTCAAGAGGCGCGTTAGGTGAAAAGTTGGTATGGGCTCTCCTGAGATTTCCGAGAACCCACCCGCTTTTTCTTACTTCTAGTCCCTGTAGACGCTGGCTAACCTTGGACGGCCGTCCAGTCCCCTCGTCCACCCTCTCTCCTCCCACAGAGCGGGGACAGGGCCCGGCAAGCTTGCTGTGATTCTCGGAGACCTGGCCCGCCTGCAGCCTGCGAGCCATGACTGCTGCCCGGAAGCTCGGTCTGTGAGGGGACAGTACTTACGTGGGAGAGCACACGATTGCTCCTGAAGGCGGAACAGACAGGAAATCTGGAGAAGGGGAAAGGATAGGCGGGTAAAAATAGGTGTGGACTCAAGGCAGCAGCCGGGAGCAGGGCGGCACCACCGATGGGAATTTGGAGGCGAAGCCAGCCCCGCTCCTGCCTGCTGGTGGCTCTTACCTACCCCGCCACGGCCTCCGTGCTCCCGCCAGGCACTGGGCCGCGATGTCAGGGGTCTGTCTCGGCAGTCTTGTGCGATGATGCTAACGTATATACTCACCCCGCTTTAAGTTCGTAGAGGGAGACTAGTCTCTCAGGCCTGGCCTGCCGTGCGCTTTGCCGGATTATCCTGGCTAAACTGTGTCCCCGGGTTAAGTCACTGACAATCTTCCGAAAACTCCCGGATCTTCTTGGGACCTTGCGGACCGCATGTCCGCGTGCTGATAGGCTCCTATGGGTCAGGAGCGCCCTGTGGCCAGGATTCTGGAAGGCCTGAGTGGCTGTGCACACAGGCTGGTGTTCGCCCGAGAGTGGAGTCTTTGCTGGGCCGACAGATGCAGCCTGGGAGGCCCATGGGACTGTGGGAAGGGTGCTGGGTCCCAGCCTCAGCGGTGCCGAGTGGCTTTGTGGCCCTGAGTCCGTCCCGGCCCTCAGGCCACATCCGAGGGCCTCTCTGTCCCTCTGCCCTGCTCCATCAATGCCTCCAGGGTCCCTGCTCTCAGGCTGCAGGGCTCCACCCAGGCAGAAGGGAGCTTCTCCCTCTGCGGGAGAGGCTCGCAGGCTGTCCGGCAGAGGAGGAGCTGGCCACTCCCCTAGTCTGGTTCTGACTGACGGAGGGGCGCAGAGCAACGGGCTCCTCCCAGAGAGGCGCCTCGGGGCCCAGGCGGCACCTTGCAGGGAGCCCTGGGGTGACCCCGCAGCACAGGGCCTTCGGATGCACCCTGCCATCTCTCCGGCCGCGTTATGGGCTGGAGCTGTGGCTGAGCCCATTGCCCAGGAAAACAAGGGCAGCCGTTAGACCGAGAGGGGTGGAGGGGACCCGCGTCCTCCTGCGGTGGGAGGCTGGGGTCGGGCCGGGGGACTCACCCTTCTGCACTGTGCACTGTCTTCCAGCTTGTGGCAAGCTGACGGGCATCAGTGACCCCGTGACCATCAAGACCTCTGGCTCGAGGTTCGGGTCCTGGATGACAGACCCTCTGGCCCCCGAAGGGGATAACAGGGTAAGTGCCCCCCCGTCCATCGGGCCTGGGTGTGAGGTTGTTTGGACAAGAGTGCCCTCGTGGGCCAGGCGAGCCTGTCTCCGTCCCCCGTGTGTCTGGCCCTCGCTCCGATGCCTGGGTGCCCACCCACCCAGAAAACCACTCCAGCGGTTGTGGCTTGAGCACAGCCTGGGGCCCCTGGGGGTGCGTTCCCGGGTCCAGGCGGCTTGGCAGAGGGGCCCAGGTCCCTCGCTGAGGTCCCTGTGCTAACCCAGAGCCCCAGACCGCAGGGATGGGTCGCTGTATGAGACCCTGAGATTGATCGCGGTGACTGTCAGAGCAGGTGGATCCGTGCACAGCCTCCGAGGCTCGACTCTGTCTCTCTGGCTGGGGAGGGGGGTGATGGGCAGGGAGGAAGGGGCAGAGGAAGGGGACGGGGGGAGGGGCGGGGAGGAGAGGGAGGGGGCAGGGGTGCTTGGAGTCCTTGTCCCTGGCTGCGGCCGCCCCAGACGTTTCCAGCCCCATCTCTGCTCCGGGAGAACTGCTTGGCCTTCCTTACTTTAATGACATCTCATTTGTATTTCATTTGTTATTCCTTTCAAGGCTGATGGAAACTCGCGTTCCTTTTTGATTTAGGGAAGAGGCTGTGTTCTTTTTTTTCTAGACTTCTCCCCTGGGTAAAAACGCAGAAAAGGAGAGAAGCGCAGGGCCTAGGTTGTGGTGTTTGAGCCCCTTTGGGGTGTGGGTGCGAGGGCTGGCTGGCTGAGCGCAGGGACGCCCGCACAGAGCTGTGACGGTGGCACTTAGAGCCTCCACCGGGGGAAGACTCGCCCGGGGTTCCCAGGGGAAGAAGGACAGAGTCTGGGCCACGCTGTCGCTGTCCCGCGGCCATGCACCCCGGCCCCGCGTGAACAGGCCAGACTCCGGGGCGGTTCCTGCCCTCCCTCCCCCTTGTTTTCAGGGGGTTGCGGAACATTTGGAAACTGATCACTTTCGTAAAAAGTCTCACCTCTTCCTTCAGGCAGGATTGAGAGCAGGGCGGCGGGGCGGGGGTTAGAAATCCGAGACCTTCTAAGGGCCTTGTCTGGGCGACTCTAATGGGAAGGGGTGGGTGGCTTTCTCTCCCAGAGATTCCTGATCCCCCCAGCTCCCCTCCCCCACTCGCACGCCTGCCGGGGAAGCATGAGGCATCAGCTCTTGTATTTGGGACAAGGGGTGGCTCCGGGCTTCTGGCACACTTCCTCCTGGGGAAGGTGGGTGGGGGACAGTGACTGTGGGCTCTCTGGGAGCCTGAGACTTGTCTGCCCACCCTCCCGCCCCCGCCTGGGGCGCCTTCCTGCCTTCCTGGCGTCCTCCAGCCCCTGCTGCGGAGGACTCTGGGGGGGCTGGCCAGGGACTGACTGCAAACCCGGGATATGCGTGCAGACACGGGTCTGCGGGGCGTTTCCGTTCTGTTTCCAGAGTCTGGACGGTCAGCTGGCGTTGGCAAGTTTTCTGACGGTTTGATTGGCTAGTTGTTATCCGGATCGGTTTTCTGGTCCACATCCCTCGTGGCGAACCCCAGCTCTGCTCTGGGGCGGCACTCGGGAAACAAAAACGAGGCGCGCAGGCAGGGCCCCGAGAGAGCGCCGCTCTCCGTGCCGGCACCGCTCACGCACTCAGGCGTGCGCGCAGGTCCGTCAACACAAGGGAAGGTAGCGGCTGGGCCTCGACACGCGTGCCTGCCCCGGTCGGGCCTCCCGCGACCCTCCAGCCACCCGCCAGTGTGGAGACCACCCTTACGTCTGCCGTTTGATGAGAAAACCCGGGTCCGGTCTCTTGCCTAAGGTCTCAGGAAAGGTCGGTCCGTGGGTTTATTAACGAACGTGTGCAGCAGGCTGAGTCTCCCGAGACCACGCTCTCCCCACCTCCTGCCTGCAGCCCGCCTCCCCGCCCCCTACACACACACACACACACACACACACACACACACACA